GAAATTCACTTCGTAAGATCCGCTGATCAGTTAGCTAGCGTATTCAAAAAGGCCTTACCCGGATCTACCTTCAATAGAATCCTTCAAGGAATAGTAATGATGGAAGCTGAATTTGTTCTGAAACCACTTTCGTATTAATAAAGTTAACACTGCGAATCGGTGCAAATGCTCGCAGTAGTTCGCAGTCTACTTCAACATTATGAATCGGTGCGAACGCTCGCAGTAGTTCGTAGTCAACAGTTCATTCATAGTCTACTGTTCATTAGTGGTTTAGTTTCTCATGTATCCTTTTGTACAATATGTATAATGTTGTTTATCATTGTTTTGTTTTTAAATCTCTTCTGTTTTTCATTATTTTTCATAAAATTCCAAAATTTCAAAAATAGTTTATGTAACATACACGTTTTAAAATCGTGTTTTGTAATGAATAAAATTCTGAAATATTATGTAAAATTGAGTGTTGAGTTCTAAGAGATGGTTTTTACTAGAAATGAAGTAAAACTATGTCTAGAATCACTCAGAATATATTGGAAGTCTTATGAGATTCCAATTAAAAGCCAAATAGTGAAATTTAGCGAAAATATGAAATTTTAAATAATTAAAATTTTATTATTTAATGTTGTAGAGAATCTCATTATAAAATTGTAGGCGAAAACCTCGTCAAAATCCGAGTTATAACGAAGAAGTTATGACCAACCGAAGATCCGCGACAAAACCGACACGGCGCCAAATGACGTAAAAAGTGAGTTTTTTATAAACTACTTTTTACCCTTAGTAATCCAAATGAAAGTCGTAGTATTCGTTAAACTGAGAAATTCGATAAAAAGAACGCAAAAATCTGACATCGTATGAGGAAGTTATGATTTTTCGAAGTTTCAACTTAGCAGTAGACAGCTAAAAACTCGAATTTTAGATCGAGCGATATTTTACCGATACATCCTAAACGAGAATCGAAGGTCTCGTCATATGTAGTACAACAGTAAAAAGTCTGACGAAAACAGATGTCGGATGAAGAAGTTATGAATTTTTAACGGATTTTCCTGTCCCGGTCTGTTAAAAATAATAATATTAAAATTAAAGTCAAAATTAGCCGACGAAGTCTAAACGAAAGTTGTAGAGCGTAATTCTAGCTACGCATGCATATAAAGAACGTCAAAAACGGAGTTCGTATGCGAAAGTCACGGATTTTAGAAGTATGGGGCACATTTTCCGAGAAATTCGCATGAATAGTACTAGCCTTGCGAGATCTCGCCTCGTGTCCGACACACATCACGGTTCGGTTCGCCCAGAGCGTCGTTCCCTCGCATATCCAATGCGTTCCGCTTCCGGATTCAGCCGATGTCGCGACTAGTAGTCTTCCGACGCGCGCTTCGCACCGCCTTCGCTGCTGCGCTACCTGCCCCTCGCTGCTGATGCCACCGAGCTGCTTCGCAAGCAGCTCCGTCACCCTTCTGTCCGAGCCTTGCTGGAGCCCTGCGGATCTACTGCGTGTCCTCGTTGAGTCACCTTCTCGGCCGAACCCTCGCCTATAAATAGGAGGGTGCGAACCCTCCCGGCTAAAATGAAAATTTTCCATTTTCACCCCTAAATCCATATATTCACTATTTTGACTTTTCCCGAAGCCCCGGTATCATTTTTAAAGCCCGAAACACATCCCGAGACCACCGAGAAGCCCGTAAATTTTATCTTTTCGGTTTTGAAGCCCTAAGTTCGCAGAGCCCGGTTTTCAATCAAACTCTCGGTTTTCAACATAGAAAGGCATATTTAAAGCTGAAGTGCTGTCCAAATTACTATTTTAACCCCCGGTTAACTTAAGGTGAGTTCAATATATAGGAAATTTTGCATGTTATGTGTTATATGTGCTATGTGCTTTTCAGTATTATCATTCTGAGTTATTTTCTTGTGTTATTCGCTATGTTTATAGCAATTGTAATACCTTTGACAATGTGATCACTAAAAGGACTTAGATTCACATTGGTACTAGTACGTGGCCTCTGGCCATGTAGAGCATGTCTCCGTAAGAGAATGACTTCTATTCTATGGCATTGTCAAATGGTTAGACAGGACTATAAGCCTGAAATCTAACAAGATGTTAATCAGAAATTGCATGTCATCTATGCCATTTGGGCCAAAGCTTTATTGATGTATATCAAGAATTGAAAAGAATATCTTTGAATAATGTCTTTGATTGATATGAACGCTTGTCACATGATCTCAAATACATCTTGTTGTTCCTCTTTGCTTTGCCACATTGAAGTGTATATATATATATATATATATATATATATATATATATATATATATATATATATATATATATATATGGCATAACATTATATTGTATCTATTTTTGAACTCACTAAGCGTCACCGCTTACCCTATCAATGTTTAACAATTGCAGGTGATAAATAAATAGTATGTTTACATACTATTGAAAGATGTAGAATAGTTTGTAATAGTACTTTTGTACTACTTTTTATGTTTGTATAAATTACAATATCCTGGGTAGTTATGTAATATATATATATATATATAATACTTTGTAATAGAAGTTTTGTATCCAATAGTTTGTAAATCCTTTATATCAATGTAAAATATTGCTTTTATGAATATGCAAATAGCATGTTTTGGAGTAATGATAATGTGAAATATGAAAGTTTAGGTCTTTCAAAAATACGAAAGTTGGGGTCTTTCAGTTTATTTTTTTCTGATTCTCTTTATTTTCGAACAATCAAAATTCAAAAATACTTTATTTTTGTGTTTTTAATTATTTCTTTTATTTTTCACAAATATCAAAATCACAAGACAACTGAGAATCTCAGGGAGAAACACGTTCGTAATCTCTCACTGTTGGTGTAATGGGGCAGGTATCAATCTCTTCACTTATGTACTAGCTAAGCATCCCTAGAAGCATGTTGCTACATGTAGTCTAAAGCCTCGATGATTCTATGTTGAAGCCTTAATGAATCGATTCTACCAATCGTTTCTTCCCAATCAGGCTGTTAAATACACATAAGTCATGAGCTACCTTACTCTTCTCAATCTGAGTTAAGAGTTATCTTCTTAGTCACTTTCACATAGCAGAGGTACATTCGTTTCTATGGAACCACCTTCAAATTTCTTCATCACCTTTGCATTCATCATTATAACCCTTGAGACTCTCAAAAATTAACACTAAGGTTTATAGTTGCACAACATCTGTATTAATGATCTTAGCTTCATTCTACCATGAACTGAGTGAAACCTAAAATCCAACACACTTTAATGAATTGACGGTGAACAATTAAACGCTCTAGATTTTTCACCAAGGAATTAAAGAATTCCACATTCGTGGTTTATACCAAGAAATCTCTTTTTCTTTTGCGAGATCTTTATGAAATGTTCTTGTCCCAAGACATTTCTTCCCATAAGATCCAATTTTATTTTTCTGAGATTTCTACATTTCCAAACCTACTCGTTCAAATGACTACACTAGTCACACGAGTACTTCATCCGAACGTTCGTACTTATATCAAGTTTTAAAGTTTGGTTGGAGATAAAGCCACCTATTTGGACAAAAGAAAAGATTCCATACAATGTTTCTTATCAAACACGTGATCGTATTTCAACGGGAAACCACACAGACACTTCTTAGGCTCTCTTGACTTCGAAGGAAGAGATTTATACCTGGGATCCACAATTTCGTGTCTTATTAGCCATCACTAGAATCTTTTAGAATTTATTGCTTTATTTTTGAATCTTTCACACACTCTTACACGAAGATCCTAGTGACTTTCAAAAGTCTAGTTCATGGTACTTACATTCGGTTTCAGATTCACAATTCAACCTATGTTCTCTTAAAATGAAGTTCGCTTTCATATGAGACAAATGGAGTCACACTTAACTGCGAAAGGGAAAAGCTAACACAGCAATTTCCTCAGCATAAGAATTCATAAGGGCGCGTGAAATTTTGAATGAACATTTCCTTTTCTTCCATATGACGCACGCTTCTGACGTAACATCTGTCAAATTGCGCTTTTACAGGCGATGTTTCAGTTCCCAAGACAATCTCTCTTCGGATTTCTCTCACCAATCAAATGGTATAAAAGGTTTTTGGCGCTTCATCTCGCATTACCACTCATACCATCTCTCAAAATTTTCGGTCGATCACAGCGTTCTACTGTTCATCTTCTTTCTCAAGCTTTCAATAATGGCGGGTTCTTCTGAAACTCCCTCAGTTCAAGATCAAACAATGAAGTCTTCACTCCTTGCCGTCAAGTAAAATCAGAATCTGGTGATCGATCTTGATCCGTGAAAATATGATAGCTACATGTTTCCAATTGTCGAGTGCCTCAAATACTCTCCATTGAAGGTTGTACTCACCAAGATGGAGAATGTCCTGATGTCGTACTTATGCAAAGCCTATGCTTCTACAAGTTTTCTTAAAGAAGAATAGAGGATTACGTTTGAGATCCTCAATCACAAAACCTCCATCTCCAAATCACGATTCTGCTAGTTTTAAGGCTTCCTCAATCGCACGACATGATTAACCCTGAATCTATGTCCAATGCTGCCCTGTTGGAGATGTTTTACCAAATGGGGTATAAGGAAACCCTAACAGCCGTCTCCAAGTTCCGAAAACCAAATCTACCACCATAATGGAATGGCCTCTTCACTCTGCTGCTCAAGGCCTTTTCTAAAAGAGTTACTGGATCTGATTGCTCCAACAAGTTGTTCATGGCAATTGTTTATGGCATCTACACAGGTCTAAATATTGATTTTGGAGCAGTTCTATGGGATCAAGTCATTCAGAGCACTCACTCAACCACACGTCATAGTGAAGTCTCATGTGCATGTTTTTGGAACATTATTATCCACAGAGCTATGGAGAAACTTAAAATTTCAGTGATGCAAGATGTGATGATGGCATCAATTTCTACTTTTCACACACGGGTATTATTGTTGACAATACATCAAAATATTCTTTCATCCCTTGACTTCTGAAATGTAAACGATTATTGATGAAACAGATAAACCCGAGAAGGGAGGTCAATAAGGTGGGAAGAAAAAGGGAAAGAAAACAGAGTGGCACGAAGGGCCATCTGCTCTAACTCAAACTCCTAATAAAAGGAAAGGTCAGACCGAACCTCCTGCACCAAAAAGGCGAAATTCCAAAAAGCTAGCTCACAATACCAAGTCCCCCACTCCATCTGAAAGTGAACGTTTGCAATTTGACACTCAGTTAGATGTTCGTAATGAGGAGGAACCGCTTGTTCGTAATGAGGAGGAACCATCTGTTCGTAATAAGGAGGAACCACATATTCGCAATGAGGACGAAGAACCTATTCGCAATGAAGATGTCACACCTAACCTTGAGGTAACTCCTACTTACAACGATTTCTTTCCATCTCCTCCTTCTCCCAAAACTACAGCCACTTCCACACCTATAACGATTGCACCTTGTCCCCCACCAGTCTCTTCTCAAAATTAGACTAGTATTCTTTTATCAACTCCACTCTTCTTTGATTCTATTACTCCACCAACAATGTCTATAGAACATCCTGTATCGGTCAACGCATCTGATGCAGGGGGCTGACACTTCAGGTTTTACAACATCTCCTATCTCACCACCCCTTTCCCCTCTTCGCCAAGACGATCCGGATATGATCTATGGGGATGGTGAAGATGAATTTACAAGGTTCACTTTTAGTCCATTCACCATTAGGACTAAGAGTGATGACGAAGCTCCAGTAATGAAGGGGAAACTCAAATCCATCCATGAAAAGCTTGACTCATTGCTTAAGGCTTCAAATCCTTCCTCAACTGATTACTACTCCCAAGCTTCATTCAAGTCCATCATTGAAACTCTCACCAAAGAGCACTCCTCAAATCTTGAAAATATGAACAAAGTTGTGGATGCCTCTGCTACAATCTGCAACAAAATGACAAAAAAAGGAAATAAACTAATTTCTGATGCCACATCTTTTATGAACAACTTCCAGACCTCTTTTGAGTCCAATACAACAAAACCTAATGAATCAATTGCCAATCTTGGCTCCTCTCTTAAAGCTGAACGAGAAAAACTTCAAGGAATCAGAACAGGGATCACTACCGATCATGAAGAATTCAAATACTCCATTTCCTCACAAGTCTCCAAACATCAAGATGATTTAGCCATGGAAAGTAAGATAATAGACTCCCTCGCCATCAAGAATGAAAAAGTTAAAGTTCTAACTGTCGAACTCGAACAGGCAGAGAAACAAGTTCAAGATTTGATAACTGAGAAGGCAGTAATGAAAAGTTGAATCACCGATATTACTGGCCTACTCTCAGATATCATTGAGACTGGGGACTCAATGGTCACTATTTCTGTTAGAAAACATCTAGCCGAAAAGCTACGACCTGTGTTCACAATGCTTCACCGTTTGGTGGGTGTTCCGGAATCTTCTAGCATTCCGAAACCAGGGGGAGATCTACTAAAAAAAAGTCTTCAGCCAAGCCAACTTCTTTAGTTAAGCCAAATGTTAAAAGTGAATATGAGCCTAAAGGAAAAGAAAAGCTTTTCTCTTAAGAGCCAATCATTGATAATAGTGAAGAAGAAGAGCTAGATGAAGAAGAACTCAAAAGAAGAAAGGTCGTGAAGCTGATTTAGATGAAAATCAAGAATCGTTCCAGAGCCTTAAGCCAAGGAGAAGGCTAAAATAGAAGCTAGGTTCACACTTGAAAGCAGGAAATAATTGTTTCCTGTATTGACTCTTCGGACCAATATTGGTTAGAACCGGTTGTGTCATTCACACTTGAGAAAACTCAAGACTCACAACTGGATCTTCCAATAACTCGTAAGGCTTTCAAGTTTTGCTCTTTTATCAAGGTTGTGAATGTCCCCTCGACTGGAAATGGTGTTGATCAACTGCTCTTTGCATTTTATCTCAAGCACATGAGGCCACAATACGAAACATGGAGTGCAAACAAGATAATTGCAGAGAAGGTCACTAGACCAATTGAGACTGACAGTCTCCCAAATGCAAAATTCAAAGTTGTCAGAGGTTCTGCGAGCCAAGTTCATGAATTCACTCTCGTAGATATGTCGTGTATCAACCCATATGATTGGATCATGCTCTACAACTTGTTGTTGAGAGATGAGAAGAAGTATGAGCCTGTTATCCATCACCTCAAGCTCTCATCATTTCATGTATTCAAGAGGTGGGAACTATGGATGTAGAGATAGTTGCAGTGCTGTGAAAGAAGCCTTCTGGAATTCCTAACGAAGCTCCCGAGGGATTTGAGAAGTTAATGCTTGGAAAATTTTACAAGGAAAGCTGGTATGTGGTCTTTCAATCAATGGAAAAAAACGATGTTGACTTTTGCAAAGCATGTTTCTTCCTACCAGACAAACACTTATACACTACCTCCTGTCTCAAATTCATCTTGGATATTTTCAACAAATTCAAGGGAAACAATACGGGTGACAAAAAGAACTTGTGACAACCCGAAATTTTCCATCCAGTTCAGTCTAACACTTCATTGAAAGTCAAACTCATTCCTGCTATCATTTAGCACAATTTGGAGTCTGTTTGAGAGTTCTGAGCCTTGTACACTTAAGGGATAAGTGTCGGGGTTTATCTGCTGAATCTATAGCTCAAAGAACAAGTCTAAAACACCTTGACCAGGAGTTCACGTCCACCACATGGGAGTTTACGGACGTAAACTCCATGTGGGCCATAAACTCCTCCTATAAGGTGAAGTTCTATCCATTTGTTTCATTCCTCCCTTTTTCTTTGGCTGAAATCCTCTCAACTATCATCCCGATCCTCGTCCCTGATCTTCAAATCTCGTAAGTTTATTGTCCTAACTAGTTGATATCTTACATGAACTAGTAATCTTACATGATTTCATCCGTGAAATCATTCCATTTTGTATATCTTTAAGTTTCACCAAGAACACCAAGAACACACACTAGTGTTCTTGGCTAAAAACGACTATTCAAGCTCCTAGATCGTAAGTACTCTTACTCTAACTCATTGTACACTAGGTTTAACATGTTTAGGGCTTAGAAAACATAAGGAAACACATCATGCAAGGAGGTTACAGCCATGACATGTTCTTGGGCCGTAAACCCCTTTTAAGGGTGCAAATGACACCCTAACACCTTAGTAAGCCTTGGAACTTAGCATAGAACCTTACACCATTGAGTTAGGGACTTCAATACACAAAATGGTACTTCATACCATGAGTTTACAGCCATTAACTCATTGGGAAGTGGTCCCCAGGCCGTAAACACCATACAAGGCCATTCTTGGACCTTAAACCCACCCAACCTCTTGTTTAAGCCTTTGAACACTTAACCACTTAAGTCATAATAGTTTTAAGCCTCATTTGGTGACCCAATTGAGAGTTTACGGCCAGGAGTAAACTCCCCTGGGCCATAAACTCCAAAAGGTATGGTCCATTGACCATAAACTCCCTTATAAGGCCTTGCACTCCTTTGTTGCAACCCAATGGCCTCCTAACACTTTGACCAAAGTGTTTTCCTCACATTAGGATGTTTATACATGTCTAATTAGTGTTATAATCACTAATTATAATATATATATATATATATATATATATATATATATATATATATACATATTTCTTCATATGTTATTAGGATCATTGTGTGTCTCTAAGTCTTCACTTGACACTAAGCACTTGTCCGACACTTCCATCCGATCCACTCACTGAAGGTGAGTTCATAACCCTTAATTAACCTTTTAAATGTTTCTAAATGTTTATAAATGCTTTATGGGGGGATACAAGTTGAATCATGCTAGTTGTTATATCAATCACATGTGATTAATAAATAAGATGCAAATGGATTTACTATATGTTAACTGTTTTACCAAACAGATTTCTTCAAATCGCTTTCATAAACGTTTTTACATGTTAAAACTCTTAATCAAACTGCTTTACGTATTGTATATTTTCCTTTCAAACTCTGTTAGAAATGTGTTTCAAACAACGGTTTTCCTTATACTTAAATTGTCTTATCAAACAAAATACTTTCAAATCGTTTTATAAACTGACATCAAGTCATTGTTTCTTAGTATTAAACTTTTCAAAAGTTTTACAAAACTTTTTTTATGCTTTTATATTGTCAAATGCATGCCTAGATATGTATAGTTACATAAATAATATTTAAAGGACTTAGGACAATTAGCTCGCTTTATTTCCTTTTCCTCGTTGGGATGTGGCCTTAGGGCATCGGTTGATTATCCAAATGTCCTCTAAATATTAGTTATATATCATGTATACATATATAGACATAAAAGTTCCCTCAGTCAGTTCAGTACCTTTGGGTAGCAAAGGCAGACTTTCGGTATACACGTACATTACTAGTAACTATAATAGGTATAGTTAGGAGATACTACTTACCATTCCAAGTACAAGGAATCACACAAGAGTCGATTCATTCATGAGTCTATACTAATACATTACATGTGACATGAGTAAGTTTACATAGATACGCTTACATGAATACGTTTACATAGATAAGCTTACAGAAATACGATTATAATACACGATAACAGAACAGACACAACAACGTACTATAGCATGGAACAATTATAGGATCTAATTATACCAATGAATCACTAATGCATTGTGATAGTTATATTGGGTACACATGATCATAATAATGTGGAGGTTCACGGCTTGCAATCATGCAGGGGTCACATTTGGTTCCCAAAATCTCTTGACATGGGAGCATTTAGCATGGGATCTAGCCATCACATTATGCCTTAACCCTCAATTAAGGCAAATTAGTACAATAGTAGTCACTTATTACAAATACTACAGTACTTACACTGTATATACGACAATTACACAAGGAAATAAAACTCCAGTTAATATATTATTAATACCTTTACTATGTGTCATATTCACATAATCGATGAGGTAGATTAGATTTGAATAATAATAGTCGTACAGTTGGGTCCTAGTAGAAGGCTACTTCAAAACAATTGGGTCTTGGTAGAAGGCTACTTTCAAAACAATCGTGTCTTGGTAGAAGGCTACTTTCAAAACAGTTAGGTCTTAGTTGAAGACTACTTTTTATACTAGTAGGAAATATGAGATTTTTCTAGTTTTTTCAAAAGTTTGCAATTACTTACAAATATTTTCATACTTATAATTTACAAGTCTTTACTTTACAGTTTTACAAATCACAGACACATTAATACTTATGAATTCACCAGCTTTATTGTGTATACTTACTTACAAAACAACTTGTATTCTCAGGTAACAAATAGACAGGTACGACGACCAGGTTTTGTGAAGATGGAGCAGTCAAGACTCGTCTTTTATTTTGAACATTCATTATTTTGTCTTATGATATGAAGGAACACACTTGTAATTAAAATTATACTATTAATGCAATGGATGATGTTGTTGCTTTTTTACTACTTTACATTGTTGTGATACATTACATGACGTCCTCTGCCCCCAGAATGTTTCTGCCGTTCTCGGTTTTGGGGTGTGACAGATTGGTATCAGAGCATTGTTTATAGTGAATTGAGTTTATCAACCCATAAAATATATACTAACTATAAATACAATCGGATTAAAAATAATTTGACCAAGAGTTTACACTTTTAAATAATAAATATTTAACTAAGTATATGTGCTTGCATTCATACTAAAATATGTGTCACAATAACAAGAACAAAAGTATTACGATTGTTGAATATCACAGGTAAGCTTGGTGATGTATGGTCATTCCTGGGAGTGGCATAGCCTGATCAACTATGCTGGTCCGAGGAGTGATTAGCACATGCCCAAGAATGGTTGTGATGTGTCAAAAAGTCTAAAAACTTACCAACACTACCACAATGAGAACATTATAACATAACCTAAGTCTAAGATACTATAGGACTATTTTGTGTTACTATAATTACTTACTTTTGAACTAAAAATGATCTTCATTACTAAGTAGATAGTTGCTTAGTGGATACACCAAAGTTATATGTAAACGGGATGTCATAGACTTTGAATCTGTGAAATTTTTGCTTTACCCCTATTCCTTGTGAATTTGGGAGTTAAGGTCACTTATTCGAAAGGCAATCATGTTTTGCTTACATATAACTGGTATGCACTTCACAAATAGTGATGTAACTAATGAAGATTACCTAATAATTATCTAGATACTTCGTCTAATAATTATTTTCTTACCCCAATTCTTGCGTAGATAACATGGATGGACTCCATCCCCACGGGAACCTGTACCTTCCGAATGAAGGCAATGCTAGATGGTTTAGAGAAGAACCCG